AAAGTCATATTAACCAAACAATTGAATTATTTAATTAAATTAAAATAATATATTACTACTATGCAATATCAAGATATATAGGTTATATAAGGTGATAACTTCAGATTATCTTTAATTAATTTATATAAATAGTGCTAACATAATATGAATTTATTAATTTGTATAATTAATGTGCTAATGAATAAATTAATAAACCCGTGAATATACATAAATTAAATACAATTGCTGCGGCTACAAAAACAATATCTTGAAAATTTTAGTGATCATGATAGTATGTTAGCTAGAAAACACAACTACACAAGTTATATTTTAAATGGAAATCTCTATTGTAAACAATTATCTTCTAATTTAGCGCAAAATAACCATAAATATTTAGGAAATATAAAAGTGAATTTAGTATATTTATTAAAAGTTGCCAAATTGATCAATCACAGTTATAGGCTATAACTTATAGCGCGTAATTAATCTAATATTATTTCAAATAAAACATTTATACTAAATTAGTAGATATCGCAGTCGCCAAAAATAACTATTTAAGTTTAAACTTTAAATCTCTTTAAAATCTATGAATTAATAAATTACAGTTCATAAATATTAGCCAATCTTTCATTATTTTTAACTACCATAGTACAATGATGTGGAAACAATATCAAAAAAATAAAAATTTAAAAATGCAAAAATTTATATTACATTATAGAAGATATTAATTAGTAAAATTACTCAAGCATATACACCTAGACCCAAGAACGGACATGTACACTACAAACCATAATTATCGACCCAGACGTTTGTTATTAGTACAGGAAAACTGCTTGAATTAGAATATAAAACTTTTCACTGTTGTATACTTTAATTATCCAGTTATTAATCGCATTTATGTATTTTTTAAAATAATGATCAAAGATCGGATTTTTAGATGATTTAGAAAACGTCCCGAAAAAAACTTTTTTGTCTGTAGCAAAATCACAAATATTCAAATACCATTATGTAGTAAATTACAAAAGAATAAATTTGATATGGTCACAATTACGTAAAATCAAAAGTGGTCAAAAAAAGTTAATTGATTTTACAGGATCTCTATAAAAGGCACGGAAATATATTATACATTTTTGAAGCTTATTTTGAAACGGGGTTCAAAATTTTGCTATACTCTCTAGCTGTAAGCTTTAATATTTTTTCACATTTCAAAATTCGGTATTTTTGACAATTTTTGTTGCTTAATTGCTGCCATGTCTAAAGGTCAAATGGGTCGTGTAGCACATCAAATTTATTCTTTTGTAATTTACTATAGAATGGTGTTTTAATATTTGTGATTTTGCTACAGACAAAAAAGTTTTTTCGGGACGTTTTCTAAATCACCTAAAAATCCGATCTATGATCATTATTTTAAAAAATACATCAATGCAATTAATAACTGGATAATTAAAATATACAACAGTGAAAAGTTTTATAAGCTAGATCAAGCAGTTTTCTTGTAGTAATAACAAACGTCTGGGTCGATAATAAAAGTTTGTAGTGTAACTAATTTTAAAATGTAGCTATAATTATAGAAATACACCTGTAGGAATTTTTTGAAATAATAAGCTAACATTTAAATATTAAATCACATTTAAGGTTAAAGATTAATTAATTTAATCGCTCTGAGAAACGTTGCTCTAGGTTAAATACTTAAATTATATACAAAATAAAATGGAAGAGTTAATCCATAAAAAGAAAGCTTATATTTTTCATTTCCAACAAATATAACAGTATAAAGTTTATACTATAAACACTTATGAAAATGTAAATTGTTGCTAAATCATTACAGTTGATAAAATATAGTCTTTGTCACTAGATTAAACTACTAACATAATAAGCTACATCTATAAATTACAATTTAATAATATGTATATTTCGTAAAAATTAAGTAAACTTATACAAATAATATTTTTATTTGCTTCCAATCCATATTGAATTATAATTCTGTAATTAATAATTATTTAAATAAAAATACTATAAAAAATAATAAATATAATACAATTAAACATGATGTTATAAAATTAATAATATAATATAAATGATCTCACGCAAGATAAAGTTAAAGCTGTAGATTTTATTTATATTTTAATTATAAATATTAAAAATTAGATAATTGTAACCACACCAAAAATAACAATTTTAGTTTAAACTTTAAATCTTATAATTATCAATGAATTAATAAATTACAGTTAATAAATATTAGCTAATCACATTATTCTTAATTAACGTAATACAATGATGTATAAATAATGTTTATCAAAAAATTGAAATTTAAAAATGCAAAAATTTAAAGTAAAGAGGCGTTCAATGTATTTTGCGCGTCGCGTTTTTGGAATATCTTTTAAACTGTAAGAGGTAACTAGATTCTGTAAAAGGGCTACAATAGTGAAAGCGATGCAGAATTTTTTCATATCCTATTGACCTATGTGGGTCACGTGGTATTTTTAATAACCTATACATTCCAAATCATTATATTATTTTTCAAACTATTTGAGGTATAGAGATGATCCCAATACAAAATTTGTTAAGCAATAATGGCTGCGTATAATGAAAAAAGAATTACTAAAATTGGACAAGTACTTTAGTTTTTATGACCCTAAATGTCATAATTTTGGGGATAAATTGATAAAACATTGAAATTGTTTTGAGAAATGGAATCTATTGACCAGTAAAACGATGAATATTAAAAAGATTACGACTACCCATAAGCTTAACATTGTCTTAGGCATGACATAAGCCCATAATATTAGGATTGCCACAGACTTCATTTTCTTCATATATTTGATTGACCAGTTACTGGACCGGACTGGACTGTTAGTCCATAGGAATAACATTACAGTACACTCGACTTGCCTAAGTCATAAAAACTAAAGTACTGTTCCGATTTTAATAATTATTTTTTCATTGTACTCAGCTATTATTGCTTAACAATTTATGTATTGGGATCATCTCTATATCTCGTATAGTTTGAAAAATAACATAATGATTTGGAATGTATAGGTTATTAAGAATACCACGTGACCCACATCGGGCAATAGTATATCAAAAAATTCTGCATCGCTTTCACTATTGTAGCCCTTTTACAGAATCTAGTTACCTCTTACAGTTTAAAAGATATTCCAAAAACGCGACGCGCAAAATACATTGAACGCCCTATTATATTATACAAGAAATTAATTATAAAAAATTTGCTTAAACGAATAAGGACATGTAGATAATTTTAAAATGTAGTTATAATTATATGAAATACAACTGTGAGAATCTTTTAAAAATAATAAGTCAACATTCAAATATAAAATCACTATTAAGATAAATGATTAATTAACAGTATTTAAAAATTAATTAATTTTAACCTTCTTTAATAAAATTATATCAAGCAAACTAATGATCCAAATATAAAATTAATAAAAATGTATAAATATTAAGATTTATTCTAATAGCAGATGTGCCGTAACCATGATTATAATGTTAAATTTATATTATGAATCCCTGAAAACGTAATATATTAATCAATTACAGTTTATAACCTATGTCTTATTTACAAATACAATATGATATACGTTAATAACTTATTTGCATAAATAAAGTAAATAAGACATAATTATTTAAAATTAATTAATTAAAGATATAAAGACTACATAAAGAGACCAAAATATAAATATTTCTTATCTAGCCTAATAAACTATACGAATTATGATAAATTTACAGTTTTATTGTAACTTCTATAAAAAATATTTTATAATATGTGTAAAGTAAATGACAGTTTATATTATGTAAAATAATTTAAATTATTTGAAATAATCAGTATGAATAACAGTAAATATTTACACATGCTGGTTAAATTATTTTATTTTTAAAGTAAAAAAATATGAACATTATATTATCTTTATAATAATCATAATCACATGTAATCTTAACAATTATATTAACAAAACAACTTATTTTAATGTAAAGTTAGCATGGTGATGTCGTAATGCATATTAACTTATAACTTATTTCATACATTTAGTTATATACCAAATTTAGAATATTAAACATTTTTTAATGTTTCATATAAGTAACCGATTGTCAAATGTTTCTTTGTATAATATTTTGTTAATATATTTATTTTATATTTTAAATTATTGGCAATTGTTTTTATTGATGAATATTTATTTATGGTTATTTTGATGACTAGAATATATATATAAAAATGTAAAAATTTATCTCAATGATCTCAACATTTAATGTTTGTCTTAATGATTGTTCAATGTAGTTTATTTAAGTTGCTTTAGTAACTTTAAAAACTAATAAAAATATTCTGTATTAGTTTACTGTATAACACCATTAGTGTAATAAACATATCTCTTATATTAGGCGACAATGTCTGGCATTAAATGCAATGAATTATTGCCTAAAGAATTGCGAATACCGGCGCCAATCATATGAGAAAAATCACCAAAAAATAAAACAATGATTTCATTTTTAAAGTAAATAAAAGTATGTTAATTGCCATAAATATGTACTAATTGTGTGGTAACTTATAATAAAAATTAAAAGTCCATTTGGTATACCACATAAAAGGGCAATCAGCAGAGAATCAATTGTATAGAATCGGGTTATCTCTATATAAACCCAAAATACCAACAAACCGACCATGGTATTCACATCCAATTTTTATTGCAATAACGTTCTGGTATTATATATTAGCAAATATTGTTTGCATTATAAATAATGGAGAAAATGAAATCATTGTTTTATTTTTTGGTGATTTTTCTCATATGATTGGCGCCGGTATTCGTATTAAACCGCTGATAATTATGGGCACTATTATTATAATCAACACTCAATTGATATATCACTACAACTATTGGTGTGGTATTGAACCGACATTTCTCCGGGTGTTTGCTATGATGTCAGGTATGGTTACCCCCTATAGTGTTAAAGTTTAAACTTAAATAGTTATTTTTGGCGACTGCGATATCTACTAATTTAGTATAAATGTTTTATTTGAAATAATATTAGATTAATTACGCTCTAGACCGGTAATGCGACCAAGTGCACTACTGGCATTGTAACTTTTAACTTGTTTACCAACCAATCCGGCTAAATGTGCGCCAACACTATAGCCTATTATATGGTAATCGTTGAAATCAACATGTAGATAACCCTAACAGATACACAAAAGTAAAAATCATTAAATAATATTAATTAAAACTAATTCTATAAACATACCCATAAATTAATTATGAACACGTATAGCTGGGCCGCTACTACCCTCATGTTTTCTATTGACTGATGGTAGGGCAGACCTTGATGAAATTAAATTAAAATACATAATAAATAAACATGCTAATCCAGTACAAAATAAAATAACCAGGGTATACCATTTCCTTTAGACCAATCAACAATAAACACATTGCAATCACTGTTAATAATTAGCTCATTCTTAAGCCGATTAATCCACTGTTGATTAATCGGATTATCATTAAAACCAATGACAATAAACTTCAGGGGTTTGCGATCATCGGTGGACAGGTCTACGAAGGCCTTGAGATCCTTACCCCCGGCCAGCCATTGGTCAAGCAGTAGATGGCGACCCTCGGGTCGTTGCCTAGTATAAAAACTGAGCTTGGTGTTTATATGCTGCGGCGATTGAGGTAATAACGCTACCGGTCTTATGATCGCGTGCTGGTAGTCGTGGGTGCGGTTAAAACAGCCCAACTCTCCATAGCATACTCCGGATACTTCTTGGCCCCAAACATGTGTAAATAAATTGCCGGCTGTTATTATGATGGCAAGTTTGGTGATTATTGCGGTAGGTGAGTTTAACGTGGTCATGATCACTTTGTGTGTGTTGACCGAGATGTTATTATTGTATTGTTTTTAGTAAATGTTTTATTTAATTACTTTTACAATCAAACCATTTTTAAATTAATTAATTTTGTTTATTTAGTCATAAAATCGCATATGTTTTGAAGCAGTAATAATTTTAATATTGGTAAATCTGTATTAGTAATATACATATATAATATTAATATTAATTAATATTTTTATTAATTACATGTAAGTTAAAAGTCAGACAAAACTGATAATTATAAGGAAGTTATTGGTTATATTTTAATCAATGATTACTATGTTTTAACTATATTTAGCTGATTAAGCATGTGAACTGTGTTAATAGAATCATAAACATATTTATCTACCATGTTTATAAATAGTGGACTGATTATAATTATTATGTTAAACATTAAATAGTATGATATGAGGTTTGGATAATATATACAAGTTGTAATTATGGGTTTTATAAATGTAATTGTGTCTAAATTTTTAGTTTTCTGATAATTAATTGTAATATTTATTTTAAACAATTATTTTTTATTTTTAGGTAAAATCTGTTGACTATTTTCCCAGACCTTTTATAATTAATATCTAATTTACGTTAACTTCATATTATATTGAGTTAATTTATAATATTATTTAATTAAATAAACATTATATTTTGCAAAAATATTTTTTATTTAAAATAATTATGAATAAATGGATTATGCTATTAATTTAGCTTTACTATATTTTTAGATTAACAATACGTTAGTATAACCAAACATGCTGTATATTAAGAGACTTGCGAAAATTAAAGGGAACTAAACAATATTGACGTGGTTTCTGATTCACCTTGTTAATTTGTTAACATTATATATGATTAAGCCATGAATAAGATATAAATTACAAAGCATATTAAAATACTGTGTACGCCTAGATGTACGCACACGATCTTGCTACTGTATATATTTATATAATTATTTTTAATTACATATTATCCAAAATAAATATAAATATTCGGGATTACGAGTTCAATCGTATACTTTTAGCTTGATAGTTTAATTTATGAACACTGTAACATATTTTGTATAACTTATCAAGATGTTCATTAAAAGTTAACTAAATATGTGTTAATTATTTTATACAACAAATTGACGTTTGAATTAATTGATGATGCCAAAAAAATGATTGTAAAAAAGAAACTAGATATAATAATTGCAAAATATATGAAAAGTAACCGTATCATAATTTCCAGGCTAACAAATATACAAATGTACACCAAGTTAACAAGTAGGGCACCGACTAATAGCCATACGATAAACAAATATTTTGACCAATATGAATTATTATACTCGTCGATCTCGACGAATAATTTATTTAATGACTTTAATGGATGTAAAATATTTTGTGACATTTTAACGCAATTAAACGGACGTTTAATTGAATCACATTTGAGTTTTATATAATAGGAAAGTAAATAAAAGTATGTTAATTGCCATAAATATGTACTAATTGTGTGGTAACTTATAATAAAAATTAAAAGTCCATTTGGTATACCACATAAAAGGGCAATCAGTATTGGTTTAGTCATGATGTATGGTATTAGGATAATTAGGCCCGTAAAAGGTGCAGTGTAATTAATTGCAAACTTATTGATTGAAAACAATGTTTTGGATGATTTAATAAATCGTTGTACAGATCGGGGGTCAGAGAGACCGACACTATAGGGGGTAACCATACCTGACATCATGACTAAACCAATACTGATTGCCCTTTTATGTGGTATACCAAATGGACTTTTAATTTTTATTATAAGTTACCACA